GACCTCTAGCAAGCAATCCTCCCACCTGGGCCTCCCAGAGCGCTGGGATAGAGACCGAAATTTTTGCGATAGAGACCCCACTGCCCTCGGGCTGCAGGGCCCTACTGCAGCCAGTCCCCATCTTCTCCGGTTTGGGGGGCGGGGTGACAGAGGGGGGACAGGGTGACACCCCGTCTTCTTACAAAAAGCCCTTCTGGGCGGGACAGGCCTACAGGCATGCAGAGAGTGGCTTCCCAAGCCAAGCCGCTCGGGATGGGGAGGCTGGATGTGGAGGCTGGATGTGGGGGTTAGATGGGGAGGCTGGCTGGGAAGGCCAGATGGGGAGGCCAGATGTGGAGGCTGTATGTGGAGGCTGGCTGGGGAGGCCGGATGGGGAGGCCAGATGTGGAGGTTGGATGTGGAGGCTGGATGTGGAGGCTAGATGTGGAGGCTGGATGTGAAGGCCGGATGGGGAGTCTGGCTGGGAAGGCCGGATGGGGAGGCCAGATGGGGAGGTTGGATGTGGAGGCCGGATGGGGAGGTTGGATGTGGAGGCTGGATGTGAAGGCTGGATGTAGAGGTGGATGTGGAGGCTGCATGGGGAGTCTGGATGTGGAGGCTGGATGTAGAGGTGGATGTGGCGGCCAGATGGGGAGTCTGGCTGGGGAGGCTGGATAGTGAGGCTAGATGCGGTGGCTGGATGGGGAAGCTGGATGAGGAGGCTGGGTGTGGAGGCTGGATGGGGACGTGGGATGTGGAGGCTGGATGTGGAGGCCAAATGTGGAGGCCGGATGTGAAGGCTGCATGGGGAGGCTGGATGTGGAGGCTGGATGTAGAGGTGGATGGGGAGGCTGGATGGGGAGGCCGGATGAGGGGGCTGGATGTGGAGGCTAGATGGGGAGTCTGGCTGGGGAAGCCAGATGTGGAGGCTGGATGGGGAGGCTGGCTAGGGAGGCTGGCTGGGGAGGCTGGCTGGGAGGCCGGATGGGGAGGCCGGATGGGGAGGCTGGATGTGGAGGCTGGATGGGAAGGCTGGATGAGGAGGCTGAATGTAGAGGTGGATGTGGAGGCCAGATGGGGAGGCTAGATGTGGAGGCTGGATGGAGAGTCTGGCTGGAGAGGCCGGATGGGGAGTCTGGCTGAGGATGCTGGATGTGGAGTCTGGCTGGGGAGGCTGGCTGGGAAGGCCGGATGTGGAGGCCGGATGTGGAGGCCAGATATGGAGACCGAATAGGGAGGCTGGACGGGGAGACTAGATGCGGAGGCTGGATGGGGAAGCTGGACGTGGAGGCTAGATGGCGAGGCTGAATGGGGAGCCTGAATGTGGAGGTTGGATGTGGAGGCTGGCTGGGGAAGTTACACATGGAGGCTAGATGGGGAGGCTGGATGTGCAGGCCGCATGTAGAGGCCGGATGTGGAGGCTGGATGTGGAGGCCGGATGTGGAGGCCGGCGACCCAAAGAGCAGAGGTCCCCCCGGGGTCCCAGGGGAGGGGCGCACTCACATTGTGGAGCTTATAGTAGAGGCCGCAGGCGTTGCAGACGGGGTCCCCGTTGGCGTTCCGACGCCACAAGGTCGTGGTTGTCGTCTGGCAGTTGGCGCAGCAGGTGCCGGCTCTCCGGGCTGCAGACTGGGGGGGGGACGGGGGAGGGGACCGTCAGCCGGCCTCCCTCGACTGGCCTCCCCGACCAGCCTCCTCCTCTCCCCCGGCAGCTCCCAGCGACTCCAGTCTCACGGAGCCAGGGGGGGAAACTGAGGCAATGTTAAGACTCCCAGAAATCAGCAGGCTGAGAGTCCTGATCTTGGAACCCATTCCGGGAGGCCGAGGCGGGAGGCTCGCTCGGGGTCAGGAGTTGGAGGCCAGCCTGAGCCCAAGAGCGAGACCCCGTCTCCACTAAATAAAAATGAAATAGAAAAAAAAAAAAAAAAAAAACGAGCCGGGCGTGGTGGCGCACGCCTGTCGTCCCAGCTACTCGGGAGGGAGGCCGAGGCGGGAGGATCGCTGGAGGCCAGGAGTTGGAGGCTGCTGTGAGCGAGGCTGACGCCACGGCACTCACTCCAGCCCGGGCGACAGAGCGAGACTCTGTCTCAAAAAAAAAAAAAACAACTTTAGTTTCAGTTTTTTGGGGTCTACACTGCACTTGCTGTGTTTCCAGTGGATCTGTGGCCTCCGATAGAGGCCGGTGCAAACAGAGAACGTCGCCATCTTCCCAGCCGGCCCCCCGATTTGCCCCCCGGACCCCAAATCGCAGAGTTCCAACCTCCCCTTAAGTCCCCCCCAAACCCCCAAGTCTGTAGGAGTCCCAGCCCGGCAGGAAAAGCGAGGCAGAAATATGGAGGCTGGAAAAGAGACTCTCTCTGGTTCCTGAAGAAAGGAGCAAAGAAGAGAGGTCACCTCTAGTTGTCCCACCCCCTGTCCAGGAATCAGAACGCCCTCTCTGGCTTCTACCAGGGCCACCAAACCGCGGAGGCTCACGCCTGTCATCCCAGCACTCCGGGAGGCCGAGGAGGGAGGCTCGCTCGAGGTCAGGAGATCGAGGCCAGCCTGAGCAAGAGCGAGACCCCAAATAGAAAGAAATTAATTGGCCAACTAAAAATATATATAGAAAAAACGAGCCGGGCGTGGAGGCGCATGCCTGGAGGCCCAGCTACTCGGGAGGGAGGCCGAGGCGGGAGGATCGCTCGAGGTCAGGAGTTGGAGGCCAGCCTGAGCCCAAGAGCGAGACCCCGTCTCCACTAAATAAAAATGAAATATAAAAAAAATAATAATAATAACAAGCCGGGCGTGGTGGCGCACGCCTGTCGTCCCAGCTACTCGGGAGGGAGGCTGAGGCGGGAGGATCGATGGAGGCCAGGAGTCGGAGGCTGCTGTGAGCGAGGCTGACGCCACGGCACTCACTCCAGCCCGGGCGAGACAGAGCGAGACTCTGCCTCAAAAAAAAAAAAAACAAACAAAAAAAAACAAGTCCCCCAAAACCCGCCATCCTCCACCTCCCGATTGGGGTTAGAGGCTGAGGCCAACAGCCTCCATTTGTACAACCACAGTCACCTTGGGGACAAGGGACACGGGGTGCGACAGGGGGGAGGTGAGTAAGCACACGAAGTTGGATTTCTGACTCAGTGGACCCAACAACACCCCCGCCTGCCTCCCAGCCTCTACCCCTCCCCTAACTCCATCTTTAGCCTCAACCCCTGGCCTCCCTGCATGGGTTAAAAAAAAAAAAAAAGGGGGAAGGATCTAATTATTCTTAAGTATTTCTGAGAAATCTGGACTATAGTTTGTTGCTTTGTAATACACTATGCTCGGCATTGAATGGAATAGCGCCACACGGATGAACATTTCTTCAACTATGATACCTTACCGGCGTCGGTTCATCATTTTCTATATCTGCTAAACTCCCCCTATCTTGTTTCTTC